GTTTACTAAATAAAATCATGTTTTATTTACAAATGTAGTTAAAAGTGTAATTATCTCAGCCTTAATCTTCTAAATTTTATAAATCCATTACCTGGTTATTGAAAACTTCCTTACAAATGTATTCAAGTCAAAATAAACATTAACTTTAAGAATAAGAACTCTCTTTTAGAACCTTCCCTAATTAAGAAATATAAGACACCTATTATATACAATAAATAGAGGTGTATACCATGATTTTTGGCATTTTTTTTAAAGAAGAGCAAGATCGATTAATTCAGACTTGTTTCCTATTTATGATCTTTGAACCATTAAATTTTACTCAAAGTTTTAAAATGTAACCTAAATGGAAATTATGTTGTTATTGTGTTAAGCTAAAAATTCAAGCTCTATATCATGAAAAATTCACAATTTAGGCAAATGCTAGAATTATTTAAATATTCGTTTCATAATGTGCAAATTCTCTATTTTAGGGACATAATTACTATTTTACATTTCAAAATGCGCTAGCATTTTAATTTCCCATAAATTTTTTTCTGCTGGTAATTAAATAATTTTTAAATTTATTTGTTTTCTCGTGTTTATATTAGGCTAAATATGTTTGATAAATTGCAGATTATAGTATGGAACTCACTAATGATTATGTAACCATTATCCTATGTTCATCATGCATAAAGAAAATCAGATGAAGTAAACACACAGGAGGCCATATGTTGGATGTGTGGAATTGATCAATTAATGTTTTGATTTCCAAGAAAGTGCCTTTATAGTTCCATATGATTTTTTACATCAGTGATATTTTTATCATAGAGATTTTCTGTGTATTTTATAATACATTTCTGTATTTCTACAGTCTTAATCTGGCTTTAACAAGTAGTTAAGTATAGTTTGTTGAGTCTCAGTTACAGAGCATTTTAACAGTGTTATGTTTAAATATAGAAAAAGCATAATAAAGTAATGTTTTAAACTTTGTGTTGTCAACATAATGTTTTTTCTTAAATAACTTACGAAAATAGTGTCTGTGTGTACTTTAAGAAATGTATTTGTTTTTTCAGTGTTTCATCAGGAAAGCAGTGATTTATCTTTTAACAGCATATATTCTAAAAAGTGAACTATAATAGAGGCTATCTTTCCTTAAAATGGCCAGTCGTGTGAGCCATAATGTTCATTGATAGTAAAATCAATAGAGCATTGATTCTAAGCTTAATCCTTGGAGACTGTTGTTTAGAGTGGCAGACATAGCCTAGTAAATATCTAGTTGTGTTTAATGTGTTCAGTACATCAGGTTTTGCTATCTTGAATTTGGTTGTGCACTAAATACGGTTTATATGTGGGTTAGAAAATAGTAGTTATTGACAGACACATAGTATTTTCAGCTATGATGGTGATAAAATATTTGATACGAGATTCTTAGCTATGAGTTCCACTGTGTTTTCTTTCAATATAGTTTAGTTAGATCTAAACCAATTTTAATACTTAGGGATGCTATCAGGAAATTGTCTCCACTTTCTTAGATGTTCTTTATTAATGACCATACTTTTTACATGAAGTTTATTTCATGGGAAGTATTTGCTGAAAACAATGATTTTTATATTCACCTTTTTTGCTTTCAACAAATCTGAATTGGAATATGAATTTAGAATAAATTCAGGACTTAACATTCATTGGACTTCATTTGAATGTTGTAATCTTGTGTTACACCATTACCTACCCATTTCTAATTTAAAATGAGGCAGGTTTTACCAGATAGATTTAAATATAAATTTTTGAGGACAGGAATGATAGTTTTCTATGAAGTCATATTATATCTTGATGTTAATATTCAAGAATTTTTATAAATATCGAAAAAGAATATTTAACACCAAATTTTGTCTGGCCCAGCTACTTCACGACCATATTTTAATTTGTAGATTCTTGTGTGTTACACAGTTTGCCATTTAAGATTTTTAGTACTAATTAATGTCCTTTGCTTTCAACATTGGTTATTCTGATCTGATAGTATTATTAAAAACCTAAGTTGATCTAAAAGTCAGGTTTTATATTTGCTAATAAAATATATTTTGCATTTATAGCTAAATGTTTTTCTACTGAAGAGAGAAGTTGCCTGTAATAAATCCTCTGCTTTATTTTTTTTAGCATATCTCCAAGGTATCAATTTAATAACTATCAAAGTAGCTACTGCAGTTGTTGCATTTAAATTGATTTACATGTCAAGACTGGCAGTTTAGCAGCTGCGCTATTATTCCTAGATCGGTCAATTTACTTGAGAAAAACCTACTACTGAGTTCTACTGACCTGCCTGACAATATAGGCCCTATTTCTATTCCTGTAATTAGGCCTGCGACTAACTCAGAATATTTTTAATTAAAATATTTTGGTCAATGTGTTGCACCAAATTAGGCCTTTCAGTGAAGATTTAATTCTGGAAATAGTGTGATTAGAATATTTAATGAGTTGTGTTCAATTAAGATTAACAGGTTGTGTGTGTTGAACATACAGTGTTTGTGTGTGACCATTTTGAGTTTTACAATCATAAATGTTACTCCTTATTTTTAACCTTAAAAATATTTGCTCAATAATTGTCTGAGAAATAAGTTTAAATTCAGTTGAAATTTTATTTTACAGTAACTTTTTTAGCCTGATAGTACCAAGAAAGCCGATTTAAAATGCATGACTGGGAAAGATTTTACTTGTTAATGTTCTTCTCTTCCAGCAAAAGCCAAAAATGAGGATATTGCCACAAATGTTTACAAATAGTTTTATTGAGAAATCTGACATAAACAGTGGTTGTTTCCACATCTTTTTCTAATTTGAGTTTTTTATTTTCTAAAGTAGTGTGTCAATACAAAATTAAAAGTTGCTTATTTTATAGGCTTTTATCTCATTAAAAAGCTTTGATAAAATAATGTATATAAATATTACAACCTTGGATCACCATAGTATAGGGGTAGAAATAAAAGCACTGATAGAAAATTTATTTTGAATTTGATTCAATTAATGTGTAATCCATGGTAACAAATAGCTCTTATCTTGATTTTTCTCCTATTGAGATCCTTCCTTTTGTTGCTGACTTCAGTGGTGGAGTCTTTACTACAGACTGTAATAGACAGGTAGACTCTAGGTAGCTCCTTAAGTTGAGATGTCATTCTGTTAATAGGAGTCCCATCTATGGGTGCCGTAAAAACACCAGATCTGCTATACATGGTATATTACTGTGCACCTTGTTGAAGGTTGTCAGTGACTAAAGCAGTGGACTAGAGCTAGACATTGTCATACTGGTGGTCTACATAAACAGTATCTATTTTGGAGAAACTCTTCTCTTCTTTGTAAATATAGATAAAAATAAAGTTTTTTGTTTTTATTTTAAACTCCCATGAAAAACTGTTATATTTGCTACTGTAGGTATGATGATATTCTGATCAATGGACTTCCAGACTGGCGACAGCCTGTATTCTACTACAGGCGGGTGAGAAAAATGAGCAATGCTGAGCTGGCATTGCTGTTGTTCATTATTCTCACAGTGGGTCATTATGCTGTGGTTTGGTCAATCTACCTGGAAAAACAACTGGTAAGTATTAGTGATAAATGATCTAGCCTCCCTAATGTTACATGGAATGTCAGACATTTATTTTTCAACTGATGAAAATTTCAGTTTTTCTATGTGTACTCCTCATTCTAGTAGTTTTGCGCTCAATATTTAGTGATTGACATATTTCTAAGTCAAGAAGAACCCATGAAATAAGAAGAAAATATCCTTCTTTTTAAAAATGTGGAACTTGAGTTTGTTATAAAACTTCATGAATACCCAAATATCTAGCTGAAAATTAGAAAGTCAACTCATGTTTTCTTATCACCTTCCAAATAGAAATATTTTTTATATAAGACTTATTTTAGGAATTTTTTGTGTCACAGGCCCTTATATAATGAATGTTGACTTTAAAAATGTTTTAACTAAATGAGATTTGAAATGAATATAGTTTTAGAACTTCAGAGATCAGTTAGTTAAAAAATTCTTATACTTTTCCTGGTCTAATATGCTACTATATAGTTTATTCTGCTATGGATTTTATTTGTATGTTAAAGATAATCCAACATATTTATCAGTCTTCATGAATTAGCATCTGTTTACTCATTCCTTTTGAAGTGACATTATTAAAGTTGGATGAATGAGAAAAAGTGAGTTGAATGCTTTCTCTGCTTAGAAAACTTTGATTGCTATGGAGATGCACATGACTGACAGTGCTGAACTTCATGTGTGTTTAAGGCCTGGATACCATGGCAACAGTTATTGTGAAAGATTGATGATTTTACTTAATCATGTTGGACCCTACATATATTTGCATAAATGTTCCTCTATAATGTTTACCCTTCACAGAAGAGTCTTGATAACATTTGAAGAATACATGTTAATGATAACCTGTAACCATAATTCTTTCCACATTAAGGATGAACTGCTTAGTAGAAAAAAGAGAGAAAAGAAAAAAAAGACAGGCGGCAAGAGTGTGGATGTATCAAAACTTGGTGCTTCAGAAAAAAATGAAAGGTAGCAGCATATAAAAATATTTTATAATTTGAAACCGTTTTAAAATATGTCTTTAGTATGATTCAACTTCATGTATATTTCCATTTAGATATGCTCTCATTTACATCTGTAGTAGGTTTATGAAAGACTAATAATGTGTCATAGTTTATTAGACAAATTCTAACCTTAAGCAAAATTTCTACAGATTTTTTCCTTTATAAAGTGTTAATAAATATTTAAATAAGTAAATCCCCAAATTCTTGTAGTTTGCAATTTTTATACTGAACTTTAGAAACAAAGTATTACTGGGAGAATCTATCACTGAGCTCAGGAGTGACAATATGTAGAGGCAGTGATATGTGGTACGCTCAAAAAGATACCACCATTTCTTCTATTGATTCATAGAAAGGAATAAAGGGTTTAAATAGTTCACACAGCAGGGCATGAACTGGGATCAATGTGGGATGGAGATCAGAGACTATTCTGCCTGTCTTCTATTCTGATGACATCAGTGAGTAATGCTTCAGTGAACTGCAAATGACATTAATTTTTATGTATTGGTTTGTTTATGCTACAGTCTTCATATCTGGTTGTCAGCACTTGGGAACACACTGACGATGGTTAGTTTTTTATAGCTGAAGTAATCATAAGGTTTAAGATTTCATTTTGCAAAAGTGATGAAAAGCCCAGGTTAGAAAGAGGGCTTTTATTTCTTTATCTTTATAACTTCAGGAGCCTCCTTCCCCCAAATCTTAGCCTAATTCTCTTACTTGCTATATATATTGCATTTGTTATAACTACTCTGTTTCATGTTAGAATAAGTCAGATTAAGTGTCAACTGTCATAAATATTTCATTGAATGCATTTTTCACTTTTTTTGTTGAAATAGCCACTCAAAAGAGAATTCATGATCTTTATAAAAATATTTTGTATCCCAGCCTTTCTCTATATTTTGCTGATTTGTTGTTTGGGTTTTTTTCTCCCCTTTTAGATTGCTGATGAAACCACAGTGGCATGATTTACTTCCATGCAAACTGGGAATTTGGTTTTGCCTTACACTAAAAGCATTGCCTCATCTCATCCAGGTAAAATGTACCTCTTTTATATAATATTAGATGCTTTCACTTTTAATTATTCATGAAATAATTTATGTTCATGTCTGCTATCTGAATGCTGATATACAGAGGATGCTTCATAATGTTAATTGAATTGAATAGTCTTTTATGAGTTAAACCTAATTTAGAATAGTTCTAAGATTATTTAGGTATCTGTTCCTGTAATTATCTCTTATGTTGCTTTTAGATCACCTTAGAATTCCAAGACACTGGAAAAAGGAAAAAAAATACCATCTTTAGGATAGACATAAAAGCAATAAAAAAATTAATCCTCTGTTATCCTTAAAGGCATAACCAGTAAAAAGTAACAAGACTCAAGTAGCTTGTCACCCATTATTTTAATAGCATTTAAGTACATAGTGTAAAAGAAAAACAACCTTTACATGAGCCTCTGTATAACTTGCAAAAAAAATATTGCTATCCATTATGGCAACTTTAAGAGGAATTAGGATATTTTGTCTTATACTGGTAACAAAGTTTCTGTTTCTTCTTAGTCTTGATTAAACAATAAAATGTGAATATATATCATATTTATATAGTTTCTTTTTTTATATTTAGCATACCAAAGCATATTTTACTAAATTCTTGCTTTGCTAATTTTAATTACTGCATCTAGTTAGAAAATTCTCAGCATGTAAATATTTGAAAGTAAATATAACTTTTTGGTGTACAAATTTTTGAGGTTCTTTGAGTTTGTAATTTTTGAGAAGCATTTTATTTTAAAAAATAGTGTCATAAGCTAGAGAGACAGATAAGTTCTACCCAGTTCTACCCACTTTACAGTCATATATCAGAGCTATTTTTCCTGATTGTTTAAGGAAGCTAATCACTCCAACTTCTGCATTTTATTTTCCTTTTTCCTCTCATAATGAAAATTTTATATTCGAAGGGGAAATGAACTAAAAATTACTAGTGTGCTTCTTTCTATCCTTGAGAAATTATTAATACAAGTTCTTGCATCAAAATAGTTCATCTTAATAGTTATTGCTTACAAAATCTTACATTTTGTTTATGGTTAATAGAGAAAAATTGTACTATTTTGGTAATTTAAAAGCTTTTGTTTTTAAGTTGTTAACATGTTGTATACTGTTAATTTGAAAAAAAAAATCCCACAATGCTTGTGTACTATATCTGTAAAACTTAATGAGAGAAGGAAAGTCTATCATACTGGTATGTTTATGAGAAGATGAGACAGAAAAATATTTTTAGGGCAGATTGTCTTATGTTTTTTAAGTCTGATGATTTTTTTGTCAGCTTTAGAATCTGTACAATAGGCAAACCAGAATATAGATGAGCTAAAAAGTATAGTCATGAGATTATATTAATAGAATATTACATAAAATGTCAATCTTTATAATTTTAATCTGAGTAATTTGAAATAAAGTCGATTTGGTAAAATTAATATAATTCTTGGTTAGTATGCAGGGTAATTTGCTAGAACTAGGACCAATATATTATGATGGCTTAGATTACAATTTATTATTTTAAATGTTCCGCCTGTAGTATCTAGACCTAACAGATTAGGGGATTGTTTTGCCTCATCACAAGTTTGTAGAAAATATACAAAAATAAGGAATTTAACAAAAATTTTTTAGTCTCTTTAAAATCTCTGCTTTCTTAAACCGTTTGATCAGTTTGAATTTTAAAATTTTTAATTACGTGATAGTACTTGTTGCCTTTCAGTTTTGAGATGCTAAGCCTTAGGCTTTTAAGACCTTTATAAATCTAACTTTAGGATTTTTTGTTCTAATTATTTCTTTTTGATAAAAGCATTTCAAGAAGAAAAGTAAGATGATTTTCCTTCTTTAAAGCAAATATTTGCTATTTTAATTCTGCCTTGGAAACGTAAGTTTAGTTTTTCTGGTGATCACTAGCAAATAATGCAATGTAGTAGGCTCTTTCTGACACACATTGTAATAGTGAAAGTATTTTAGATTGATAAACATACAGCTTATGAAAGACGTCAGCAAAACAATACTGAATACTTGCTTTTAGGATTAGATTTTTGTCTGCTCTTTTTAAAATTAGGCTGCTGTGACCTCTATATTAATATGGGATCTTCTTAACGCTCAAAAAGATACCACCATTTCTTCTATTGATT